AAACCTCCTCTGGGGCTTCAGGGGAGCCAAATTCATTTTTTTCCCCTGTAAATTAACTAGCTTCTCACTGTTGGTGTCTCTATGATTATGACTCTTAATAATTAATACAGTATCATCCTTCATGAAGAGTATGTTTATAATAGATTTATTAGGTTGTTTTTGCCCAAGAACAAGAGAACAGCGTATGGTTATTTGAATTTCCCTTCCCATCCACTTAATTTTTTCTTTGCTTTGGCAGTTTAAATATTTCAGCTGGTTACTTCTTACTAGATTAATTGAGATATTTTATCATTAATTCTGCAGAGAACAGAAATATTTTTCTCCTCTTCATTTTTGTAATTAAAAAATGGTAAACAAAAATAAAAGAGTTTAAAACCAGTCTCATGTAAAAGAGAGAACCTTAGTTGAAACACGTTTTTTTCCCTTCATTCGTAAATGGAGGTGGGAATTATTGTATGTTGTAGCACATCTGTGTATTGTTAGAAAAAACAAACTTTTTTTATGGCAAGCCGTTACTATATATGAGTTATTTTAATTTGTGTTTTTCTTAGAATGTGATAGTTTATATTCCTAGGTTATTGAAGTTTGAGCCTGGAGAGACTTAGAGATAGGTTAGATGGACACCCACAAGTTATGGTGTTTGTCCAAGCTAGGTTTAATGCCTCTGAATCCAAAAGATTGGGCATGAGATCTTGTAGGAACAGGTTTTCTCATGAAAATTTTGGCACTTTTACTTCTAATCATTACCAGCAATAACTAGTAGGGAATTAGGAGCTATGGGTTTCTAATTTGATTTCTTTATTTATATATTGACTCACATAAGAGAGAACTATTTTAGAGTTTTTGAAAGAGGTTAAGTTTGATGGAAATGGAAGGTAAAATAAACAAAAAAAACAATGAAAGGAAATTCATATATATTTTTTTGTAAATGTGTTTGGAAAGGTAAGAAGGGCCCAAATAGAGCAATTCTTATGTCCTTCAAGTCAGACTCAAAGCTCCTGTACATAGGTCGTAGAGTGTATCTTGTAGGCTGTATGTACTCAGAGCTTGACATCTTTAGAGCACTTTCTAGTTCTACTGTCAGTTTTGCGTTGTTCAAATTAAAGTTTCATTTTAGTATAGGGTAAGACCTGAATAGCCTGCTAAAATAGCACCCCTACCTGCCTTCTCCAATTAGAGGATTTAGAGTTGAATACAAAAGTGGCTTGGGAAAAATCAATTTCCTTGACTGTAAAGTTTAAACTAGATCCAATAACTTAGAAATGAATGTCTTACAATAAACCCTCTCCAGGAGTGATTTCTGCTGTAACTGAACTGTATTATACAATTTAAGGAGAAGGAAGGGGAAATAGAAGGGAGTATATTATACAGAATGTCACCCTGGCTGTGATTTTTAATGAGGTTAAGCAATATTATTAATAGAGTAGCGTTTGTTCCCATAAATTTTAAGAAATGTAATCCTGAAGTTTATTAGTATGTGTCTTTTTTAGCTACTTTTATACTACAGTGTAATAGTGCCACACTTGACAAGAATACCATTGCCGAGTGGTTCTTCCAAATTTATATCTGTATATAAATTTGGGAAACTAATAACTAAACTGAAATAGATAAGTTATCTGTTTAGTTATATTAGTTATTAGTTTCCCATGCCTGCTATGTCAAATTACTATACAAATGATGGCTTAAAACAACACAAATTTATTGTCTTGAGATCTGGAGGTCAAAAGTCTGAAATGGGTCTCAATGGGGGTAAAATCAAGGTGTTGACAGGGCTGCATTCTTTCTGAAGACCCTGGGGGAGACTGTGTTTCCTTGCTTTTTCCAGCTTCTAGAGGCTGCCCACATTCTTTGGCTCATGGCCCCTTTCCTCCATCTTCAAAGTCATCGATGGCCAGTCTAGTCTTTCTCACACTGCATCACTCCGACACTAACTCCTCTGCCTCCCTCATTCATGCATAAGGATGCTTATGATTACCTTGGGCCCATCCGTATAATCCCAGATCATTTCCCCAATCTGAAGGTCAGCTCGTTGGCAACCTTAATTCTATCTGCAACCTAATTCTCCCTAGCATGTAGCATTATATAGTCATAGGTTCCAAGAATTAGGACATAGACATCTTTAGGGGGGCATTCTTCTGCCTACCATATTATCTGACCTAAATTTTAACGTAATTATTCTGGGTGTTATGTTGGCAATGTACAGGGGGCAAGTGTAGAAGCAGGAAGATGGGGTGGAACACTAATGCAGGAAACGTGAGATAAAGTGGTAGCTTAGACCAGCGTGGTAATAGCAATGGAGGTGGTAAGAAGGGACAGGATCCTGGATATGTTTTGGAGGCAATTTGCTGGCCTATTATAGATGTAAGATGTGAAAGAAAGAGAAATGTCATGTGGATGGTCCAAAGTTTTTTGCCGGAGCAACAGGAAAAAATAAATTGACATTAATTAAGATGGAGAACACTGCTGAAAGAGCAGGTTTAGGGCTTCAGTGTTCAGTTTATGGAAGGCTGAGAATGCCTTCTCTCCTAACTAAGGAAGCACCATTTCCAGGTAGTGATTCCAGTCAAGCAGATCTGTCCTCTAGCAGGGTCAGAGGTACAGACCCTGTGGGAATTTCTACCAAGGAATTGTGGATTGGATTCATTTGCTACCCTCTACTTCCCTTCTTTTTCTGGAAAAAAAAAAAGGAAGAGTGCTGTCTTTTTAATAACTGTTCCTCCCTTTTTGAACAACTTCTAGGATATCTGAGATGCCAACAAGTTGGATTTGCTGGGGAGGGATTGGGAGGGTGATGAAGAAGAGATAACTTCTTTTTTGCCTTTGCAATGACCTCTGGTCTTCCAGGATTTATGACTTACTAGACTAGAGAGATTATTGTAATATCTTAATATATTCCTGAAACTGCTTCACATGACCCCCTGTTGCTAGACCATCCTGAACTGCCCACGTCAACACTTACTTGCACAAAACTTAAGAAATGGGAGTTTCCTCTAGTATTGAGCCCCTGGGAAATATTCTTTTCTACAGGGATTCCAGATACTTCCAACCAAAATTAGCTCTGAGTGGCAGTTCTAAAGACTGGGCTTTTATTTCTTGTTTCTTGGAATTGAAGATTCCTTTCAGAGACCTCCTGAGAGTAGATTATTTAGTTATTCCAGTGGTTTCTGCAGCCAGAGAGGCCTTGTGGAACTTGGACTAACAATAGTTAACGTATATCAGGGGAGTTTATTGTGTTCCAGGTGTTATGTTAAGCACTTTCCTGGCTTATCTTATTTAATTCTTATAACAAACCAACGAAGTGGTAGGGATTATTTTGGCTGCATTTTGCAGATAGAGTAATTGAAGCTAAGAAAGGATAAGTATTTACAGACAGGAAATAATGGTGCTGGAGTTCTAGCCCAGGTAATCTGACTATAGAAACTGTGCTTCTAAGTGCTGTACTATATTTTCTCTCCAGATTGACCCCTGCCATCTATTTGTGCTTGAAATTATTGTAATTGTTGTTAACTTGCTCCTAAAAGGTCCCGTAGCTGGCTTTCTGCTCCTCTGTGTGTACTTCTCAAGAAAGCTAAACCTAGTAGAATCCAGCCCTCTAAGAGGGAAAGGAAATCCTGGCCAAAAGTGCCTCTTTGATCCTGCTGCTAGTTAGTACCCAAGGCTCCTGACACCTGGTAACCGTCAACAGTTGAGCACTACTACGGCCTTCAGCATACCCACATCGCCAAGTAATTCCGTTCTTCACCCCAGTTTCTATTGAACACCTGACTGCAGTAGTCTTGCTACTCTTTCTGAAGACCCTCTGTCCTGAGAACTGGGCAGCCACTCAGCCCATCACTGATCTCTCTTCATCTAGCAGCACCAGCAAACTGGCTGCTCACTCACCCTGAGATAACTTGATAACCTCTGAATCAACCCTGATTTTATTTAGGAGCAGGCTTCCTTGTGTATGACTTGACTGTGAGCTTCAAGAAGACATGGATTGTGTCTGTTTTGTTCACTGTGGTATCCCTGGTGCCAAGCAAAGTATTAGGTATTGAGTCAGTTCTCGTTGAATGATCAGATTATGCACTACTGTTTCTACATACCTTATGGAGAAACTCAGGTGTCTGTGCTCTAGTAATGCTCTTAGGTTCTTGTCAGTGCCACTGGACACCACAGAGGAACTGCCAAATGACTAAACAGTCCCATGCTCCCCTGCTGACTCAGAAATGGCCATTCTGCACCCACTCCATGGGAAAAGTTTGGGTTTCATGCTACATCCCATAAAGCCCAGTCCTTGTCCTGACCAGAGGCAGGTACTTAGGAAGTTTGAAAGTTGTCAAATAATGGCAGCCACACTTAAGAAGTGGTGGAGAAGAGATGCTCCACATAGAGGTGATTTTAAACATTAGCCTAGAGTGAAAAATATTTTCTTTGACAAAGTTAGCAACGCCGTCAAATTCCCAGCTTCCATCATTTTACTTTTCTCTGAGGTCTTGAGTCCACTCAATAGACTGGCACTTGTAACCACTTCCTTGCTAGATTCTTGGTGTTTTTTAGGTCACCTTATGGAATTTATCTCATTCTATACTCACAACGCTACCTCCCAGATGGCAAACAACAGTCTGTGTTTTTGTGCAGCTTTTTACAATACGCCTTGAGATTTCATCCTTATCCAGGTCTCCTTTGTGCTGTGTACAGGAAGAGTGTTTGTACAATATTTCAGGGATATATTATCTTTGATTCCTTTCCCCTGCCTACACACACACACACACACACACACACACACACACACAGAGTGACATGTTCTGTGGGATTAGATTATTTCTGGCCAGGTGAGAACGTGATGCAATAACAATTTAAAAAATAGTCTCTCTGCAGTGTGACACTTCACTTTTAATTTGTTGATGAAGCTGTTACCGTGAACCGTTAGCAACTACAGAATTCTTCGTTCAGTTCAAACACAGGCAAGTATGTGTATCTAGTACTAAACGGTCCCTGTTTCTTTTTTATTTTTTCAGGCAAGGAAACTGATCAGTGACTTTGCCATTATCTTGTCCATTCTCATCTTTTGTGTAATAGATGCTCTAGTAGGTGTGGATACTCCAAAACTACTTGTGCCAAGCGAGTTCAAGGTAGGTGAACTTCTGTCTTTTGGTCGTTCCTGGAACTCTGGCTTTCTTTGCTTTTCTCAATTCCAGTTTCTCATATCTCTCTTTGAGTTAGCTTTGCACAATTATCCATTTCTTTTATTTCAAAAATGGTCTCTTGGGGCCAGCCTGGTGGTGTAGTGGTTAAGTTCGCGTGTTCTGCTTCGGCGGCCTGGGGTTCGCAGATTGGGATCCCAGGGGTGGACCTATGCACCGCTTATCAAGCCATGCTGTGGCAGGTGTCCCACATATAAAAAATAGAGGAAGATGGGCACAGATGTTAGCTCAGGGCCAGTCTCCCTCAGCAAAAAGAAGGATCAGCAACAGATGTTAGCTCAGGGCTTACCTTCCTCACCAAAAAAAAAAAAAATGGTTTCTTGCTAGGCGTATATACAGTCAGGCGCTGCATAACAATGTTTCAGTCAATGCATATATGACAGTGGTCCCATAAGATTAGTGCCATATAGCCTAGGTGTATAGTAGGCTATACCATCTAGGTTTGTGTAAGTACACTCTTTGATGTTCGCACAAGGACGAAATCGCCTAATGACACATTTCTCAGAACATATCCCTGTCATTAAGCAATACATAACTGTATACATTTTGTCTATTTCTTCACTAAAATTAAATATCTGACTAGGATTAAATGCAAAGTTCACATTGTATTGACTTTTATTGAAAAATACCTTATAATAACATTACAAACTCTGTTTTATATTTTTAGAGTATTTTAAAATATCCAAAGTATTTTCATACAACCTATCACCTTGATCCATATAATAATTCTAGGATGCAATGTAACTATCATCATCCTGATTTTATGAAGTTGAGATTGAAGCTCATAAAAATTAAGTAAAATGCCCAAGATTACATTACTAATTCAGTGCTCTTTTCCTGCTAGGAAACTACCTGCCATATACACACACATTTATATGTAATGTGAATTTTAATTATTACAAAGAAGATATAGGAATTACTCATTTTATAAACCAGTTGATATGTGCAGGTCTAATAGGTAAAATTTACCTATTAAAATTTCAGTCATTCTTAAAGATCTCTACCTAATTTTCTATTATAAGTCTTTCACCTATGTACTAGAACACTCCTAACCTCTTTCTCCATCACTGAGACCACATACAGGGTAAGAAAAATTAAACTAACTGCAGTTTTAGCTTAATAACTACTTAATGAGGAAGGGATATCTATGTTATAGGAAACAGAATATTTCTTGCATTATCTCTGCCATCATATATTCATTAGCAAATGTAAGTTCTTATTCATTCAATCATTGGTTCAAGTCAATATTTATTGAATATTTGCTTTGAGTCAGGCCCTAGACTGGGGATTTGAAATGCATTGAAGAGCAAGACAAAGTTCCTTCCCTGCAAGCTCACAACTTGGTCAAGGTAGTAAAATGTGGATAGGTTCAGTGATGGCATTGTGAGCAAAGTGAGACGAAAGACAGAAATATCTTCAGAGGAGAAATGAGACTTTCTTGATAGTAAATGTGGAGAAAATAATTCATAGATAGTATTCTATTTTAGTTTATTTACATTGTTTAAAGTTAGGAAAAGGATAGGAAAATATCTTTTTGCTGTAGTAGAGATCTTTGATCTGCTGACAGAGGATAGATGGAAAACTACAAAAATGACCATATTTTTTATTTTCTGTGATTTTCTGAGGACTTAATCAGTTATTCTGGGTCATGTGCATGTGTAAAATAAGAAATACCAGGTAAGTTTAAATAAAAAGTTCAATTATAACACAAAAATATTGTAGCTTTTTATATTTTGTATTGTGAAACTATTACAATTTGGCAGTAGTAGAAACAACTTCAGTATAAATGCCAAAACCCATGAACAAAGTTCGTGGTGGTTTTGTAATTTCTTGCCTGCCTCTTTACTGAATATTACTTTTGGGTTTTTCTTATCGCTGCCCCTTAAACTTAAGGGCACTTCAGTTCTTCCATCTTGAGCCCTTATCTTAGATCATCCTAAATGCACGAAATGGCATTTACTTCTGTTCCATCAGCGTATAGTCTTAGTCTCCTTCATTTAAAATATTGCCCTAAAAATAACCTCATTTAGGAAGTTTTTGGTGAATAGTCTTTGTTGTCCAATCTATCAGTAATACTGCTTCTATTTTAGAATGAGTTGGCTCTCCGAAAATGAAAGTGTGTGTCTCTCATTGATTTTTCACCAAGTAGTATGTATTAATATTGTTTTGAAAAATGTTTTCTCTTTTCTTAAAGCCAACAAGTCCAAACCGGGGTTGGTTTGTTCCACCCTTTGGAGGAAACCCCTGGTGGGTGTACCTTGCAGCTGCTATCCCAGCTTTGTTGGTCACCATTCTGATTTTCATGGACCAGCAAATCACAGCTGTGATTGTAAACAGGAAAGAACACAAACTCAAGGTAAATGTTCATAATAATGGTTATCATTGCCTTTTACTTTCGTTGTAGTACTTGAAAATACTAAGTGATTCAAAACCAAGACAGTTTTATTGGGAATTACATAATAGCTAATGTTCTTTAAGACTTGGCAGAGTCATAGATCACCTTGTGTTGACACATCTCCTCAATGTAATACTTTAGGAAGACCTCATTTAAATCTGAAAAAATTATTTCAAATCATATTTCCTTCATACCAAAGAGGGCAATATAAACTGTTTACCACTCAGCCACTATCATATCACATCTGATTTTAATGTGGTAACTCTCCTTAATGAAGGTAATGACAAATGCTTTTGCTGAAACTATTGAGATAAAAATATGAGTTTTCTTCTTTCATTTGTTGTCTTGGTGAGTTACATTAATAGATTTTCTATTGTTGAACCAACCTTGTAACCTGGTAGAACATAGTTTCTTTTTTGTACATAGTTGGATTTGGTTGCTAATGTCTAATATACATTTTGTATTTTTGCATCTCTGTTTAAGAGTGACATTGGCCTGCAATTTTCCTTTCTTGTAGTGTCCCTGTCTGATTTTGGTATCAGGAATATACAATCCTTATAAAATGAGCTGGGGACTGTTTCTCCTTTTATTCTACTCCCATCCTAGTCTATGAAATAAAATATAGTATTCTCTTTATTATGCGTAACATGCCAATTATCTTTCCTTTGAATGATCAGACATGCTTGTAAAACTATCTGGGTTGGGTAGTTTCTGTGTGGAACTTGTAAACCGATGATCAAAATGTTTTAATGGTTATAAAACATTCAGAATTTCTCTTTTTCTATTTTAGTCACTTACAGTTTTCTAGATTTTTTCCATTTCCCCCATATTTTCAAATTTATTGACATGTTTATAATATTGTCTTTCATTATTTTTCTAATCTGAATCTGTTATTTTTCCCTTTAAATTCCTAATATTATTGATTCATGCTTTTCATTTTCCTTGATCAATCTAGCCTGAGGTTTGTTAATTTTATTAGTCTTTTTTCAAAGAAGCAAGTTTTTACTGTATTGATGTTCTGTACTATATCTTTGTTTTCTATTTCATTAATTTCTGCTCTTTATTATTTCCTACCTTCTACTTTTTGAAGTTTATTTTATTCTTTTTGTAATTTCCTAAGTTAGATATTCAGCTCATTAATTTCCAGTCTTTCTTCATTTCTGTTATAAGCTGTATCACAAAACTTTTGACAACTTTTTAATTTTATTCAGTTCTAAGTATTTTCTAATTGTCGTTACGATTTTTTTTCTTGAGCTGTAGGTTTTTAAAAGCACATTTAAAATTTTCCAAGCATATAGAATTTTAAATTATCCTTTTTGTTAATTCCTAATTTAATTCCATTGCAGTCAGTGAATGTAGTTGGTTGGAAACAGATTTCTTGAAATTTGTTAAAACTTATCTAATGTCCTAGAATGTTGTCAGTTTTCATATATATTTCCATGTGTGTTTGAAAAGAATGTCTTTTCCAGTTGTTGGATGCATTCAATATATATTCATTAGTTAGTATTTTGTAACTGTGGGTTGTATTTCATTAATAGAATATAAAATTAATTTAGAAAATCACCACTAGCATTTAAAATTTTTGAATAGAATGAAATAGAAAAATATTGTAATACATTCCACTTATGAAGTATAAATATTATTTTGTAAATCTTTTATTTCAATTATGTGTGTGCATGTGTATGTATGTGCTTGTGAATATATATAAGTATGTATAGGTTCATGATGAATTTCTTATTAAAGATCAGGGTCAAAATGGTTTGAAAAACAGTAAAATAGGTGAGGTTTTTAATGTATGTTGATCAAATTTCCTATGCCTTTACTTTATTGTTTTCTTGAGCTATCCATTTACACAAAGATATGTTAAAAATCTCCTGTTATGGTGGTAACTTTTGTACTTCTTCCTCATAGTTCTGTTAATATTTGCTTTATTTATTTTGAAGCCATGTTATTAAGTACATCTACATTTATGACTTAGTTTATCTTTTTAATGATTGAACTTTTTATGTGACTTTCTTTGTTTCTAGTGATGTTTTTTGCCTTAAAGCTTATTTTGTTTTGTACTAATAAAGCTGCGGTAACTTTTAATTTTCGCTTGCCTGATATGTGTTTTTCCATTCTTTTATTTTCAATATACCTTTTGTCTTGTATTGCTTTGTAAATAACACATAGCTAGACTTTTTAAAAAATCATTTTTAGAATCTTTGCTTTTAACTAAAGCATTTAATCTATTTAAACTGATGGTGATGACTGATATATTTGGATTCATTTTTACTACGTTATTTTTGCTACTTGTCTAACTTTCTCCGTGTTCTTTCTTTTTTATTTTCCCTTCTTGCCCTCTTTTAGGTTAATACAGTTTTGTTTTTCTTATTTTCTTATTCTACTTGTTTTTCTATTAGTTTACGCACTTTATCTTTTCTTTTAGTGATTATGTTGCATATTTTAATATGCATATTTCAGTTCTAAAGTTAGTATTTTTACCCTTCTCCTGAATAATGCTAAAGGCTAAAGAATGCTTTAATTTTGATATTCCTTCCTGAATCATATGCTGTTATTACACAGATTTTATTGCTATCTGGACTTTAAAATCCAATTAATTAGACATGGTCAATATTGTTAAAATTACGTAGAAGTTTACCATTTTCTTTTTTTTTGGCATTTCAGACCTTCCTTTTTGGAATACTTTCCTTTAGACTGAATTATTTCCCTTAAACAGTACTTATTTACCAGACTTTTGGAATTTCCTCCTGTGAGGTTCATTGGCTGGTAAACTCTCTCATTTGTGTTTGCCTGAAAATATTTTTGTCTGACTCTCATTCTCGAAAGGTAGTTTCTCTGGATATATAATTTTAGGTTGAAAGCTATTTTCTTTTTTCAGCACTTAGAAGCTATTTTCCAGTATTTCTGACTTCCATAAAAGTGAACCGCCACTATAATTCTCTTTCCTTTGTAAGTAATTATTCTCTTCTTCTGAGTGCTTTTACCATATTCTTTTTTTGTCTTTATTCTGGAGTTTACCAGTACTTGTATAAGCATAGATTTCTTTTTATTATATATTGGTCTATTGGACTTCCTGAATCTTCCTGTCTTTTATCAATTATGGAAATTTGTAAGTTTGTAACTCTTTCAATTTCTAGAATGTCCTTCTGGAATTCCAAGTAGAATTTTATTTTACATTCCCATCTTGTGCTTCGTTTCTACTAACCTGTTTTTTGTTGTTGTTTTTTTATATTTCTTGTCTCTTAGTCTCTGTGTTATATTTTGGATAATTTCTTCAGATCTTTCTCTTTACCAGTTTTTTTCTTCTGTTGGTTCTATTCTACTACCAAACCATTCCATTTTGAATTTTCCTTTCAAGAATTACACTCTTTTATATTTAGAAGTTCCATTTTGTTCTTTCCCAAATCTTCCCATTCAATTTTGATAGTCCCTACCTTCTTTTTTATTCTTCCATGCACTCTTTTATTTATTGTTATATGTATTTGCTATCTTTGCAGCTTTTATTCTGAACTTCATTTTCTTGGCTGACTCTTACTCTTGGTGTCTTTCTTCTTCATGTACTTGGTGCCTTTTTTTTTTTTTAAGTGAGCCAATCTTCCTATACAAATGCTTCAAAGCCTTCCAGAGAAGATTTTATTTTCTTCTGGGAGGTATAAGAGAGTCTAGCCAAGCTGGGAACACTTTATTTTTATTTATCCCTATAAAAAATCTTTTATTATGGAAAGTTTTAAACATATATGAAAGTAGACACAATGGTATAATTCCACATATTTATCACCCAGCTCTAACAATTATCAACTCATGTCCAATTTTGTATCATTTAAATCCCTATCATCTTATCCCCTTCCTGTAATACTTTGAAGTACGTGTAGACAGCATTCCATTTTATCCGTAAATTTTAGAGAGTATGTAATTCTAAAGATAAGATCTCTTTTTAAAAGCATGACCACAATACCATTATCAGTCTAAAAGAAGTTAACAAAATTCCTTAACCATATTTAAATTTATGAATATGTCATAAATATAATAAATTTAAAAATATACTTTATTTGTTTAAATCAGGATCCAAATAAAGTTCAAACATTATCTTAAATCTTTTATAAACTTTTAGTCCATAGATTTTCCCCTCCATTAATCTGTTTGTTTTCCCTTATAGTTTATTTGTTGAGGACAACCAAGTTGTTTTTCTGTGTGTCTTTTGCTATATAATAAGTCACCTGAAAACCTAGTGACTTAAAACAACAATTTATTATCATCTCTCGTGTTTCTTTAGGTTGACAGGGCTCAGATGGGTACTTCTTGCTTGTGGTCTCTCCTCTAGTTGGAGTTAGCCTGTGGCTGGGGCTTCTGTCATCTGAAGGGTTGACTGGGCTGATTGCCCAAGATGGCTTCTTCACTTACCCACATGCTCTAATGCCTTGATATTCCTTGGTTTGTCTGTCTATCTGTCACTCTCTTCTCTGTCACTGCATGACATCTCATCCTCCAAAGCCTTTCCATGTGGCTTAGGCTTCTCACAGCATGACAATCTTGGGTTATTTGCACTTGTTATGTGGCAACTGACTTCCAAGAATTAAGAAGTGGAAGATGCTAGGCCATTTCATGGTTACTCCTGCAACTGTCACAGCTTTACTTCTTTACTTTGCCATAGTTGATTGGTCAAAATAGTCACAGTGCCAACCTCCATTCAAGAGAGTAAGGAAGGACTCCACCGTTTGATGGAGGAATGGCAATTTTACATTGTAGAAAAATGTGTGGGATAAGAGACATTTTTCCAGCCATTTTTGGAAAATAAAATCTGCTGCATTTGTCCTGAAGAATTTGCCATAGTCTAGGTCTTGATGATTGCTTCCCTGTGGTGTCATTTAGCATGTTCTTTTGTCCTCCATATTTCTTTTAAATTGGTCATTGGCTCTAGAAGCTTGATGAAGTGTAGTTTTGATATTTTATATTTGTAT